TATGAGTCGGACGTGCCAATAAATATCATCAACGTAAACATTATTCGTATCGAGTGCAACGTGACCGCGGGTGCGTACAGCAACGACAAGTGCGTGCACACGATACACGAGTTTTCACCGATTGTCCCACCAGGATATAAGATATCGGAAAGGCCGACGCAAATCATTTACCTTCCGATCGTCGTACGGAGCATTACGGATTTGACGATTCGCGTGGTGGATCAAGACGGTCGATTGCTTGATTTTCGTGGAGAGGAGATTACCGTTAGATTGCATGTACGGAGACGACGGCGCTAACGTGAGATGCTTGTGCTGAATGAACCACCGAAACAAACTAGAGATTTTAACGGAGAGATTTCATCTAGAAAAAAACTCACTGCGTTCAACGTTGCATTTTTAAAGTCGTTGGGTTTTATCGTACGAAATGGCTGATATCTTGAACATTGTCGGTGAGCCGATCTTTGACGATCGCATCGTCAAGTTTGAATTTCATACGTACAATCCATACGCCAATACAACGTTTGGACATAGCGACGAGATACGAATACCTATACAGCAGCAGGATTTATACACGTTGCCATGCGAAAGTTTTCTCTACATTGAAGGAAGATTGACCGTGAAGAAGAAGGACGATGAGACGCCAACAACGCTTGGAAATAATTGCATAGCGTTCATGTTTGATGAAATTCGGTATGAACTCAACAGTGTGGAGATTGATCGCAACAGAAATGTTGGAATTACCTCAAGAACTATGTATCGTTGACGTATGACAAGTCTTTGATTGCACTAAACACTGGGTGGAATTCTATATCCGACATAACGGAAGGTTACTTTAAATTTTGCGTACCGCTCAACATGCTGTTGGGCTTTTGCGAGGATTACAAACGCGTGATTGTTAACGCTCGCCATGAATTGATTTTGATACGAGCGCGCAACGATAAAAATTGTATACTGGGAAATTCAGCGACGGAGCCGGAGGTTGAACTGATCAAAGTGCAATGGCGGATGCCTCATGTTATGCTAAACGAAATCACTAAACTATCATTGCTGCGAACATTGGAAAGCGGTCGTTATCTCAGTATGAGTTTTCGCTCATGGGATCTGTACGAGTATCCTCTGTTACAGAGTACGACGAAGCATACATGGGCTGTCAAAACGGCGACTCAACTCGAGAAG